GTCTCCTCTTCTGTGGCTCCCAGCAACTGGTATTCAGAAGCATTGCTTCCTCTGACCGAGGAGGCAGAGAATAGTCATTGTGGCAAGTAGTCATTGATTTGTTCAATCCTCTTATTTGTCCAATCCTCTTTTGAGGATCAAGTGGTATATTGCACTTCAAACACATGGTGTGAATTATTTCTACTACTGATTATTCGTGCCCTAATGGTGAGAAGGAGAAATAGCTCAGTTGCTTAGAGCATGGTGCTGATAATGCCAAGGTTGCAGGTTCGATTCCCGTAAGGGACAGCTGCATATTCTTGCATTACACGGGGTTGGACCAGATGATCCTCAGGGTCCCTTCCAGCTCTAGGATGCTATGATTCAACATCCAGGGAACTTAAATGACCCTTTTTGCCTGCAGACGCGGAGAAGATCCTGGTGGAGCCAGCCTGCGGGGCGTCCTTGGCAGTCATCTACAGCGGGCTGATCAAAACGCTGCAAAAGGAGTGCAAACTCCCCCGTGATCTGGAGTCCATGGTCATCATTGTGTGCGGTGGCAACAACATCACCCTGGAGGAACTGGACCGCCTCAAGGATGAGCTGTGCATGAACCATAGAATGAAGGAATATGTGGAGTGCAAGGTTGCCCTGGCAAAATGGAACCATGCAAGCAACTCGGGGACATTCACAGCTTCGCTCCAAAAATCCTTGGGGGCGTGTGGTCATTAAAACTCACGGCTGCTTCACACACCCTGCTGTCCCTGAGCTTTGTGTCACCCCCAGGTGGGAGCAGAGGAGTGGGCAGATGGGAAAACTGGGTTGCGTAGGCCCTGGTGCCTTGGGATTTGGTTGGATCGCATGCAAATATCTGAGAGTACTAGATCCCAGGGCTGGTGGGATTGCCAGGGGAAGGTGGGAGGGCTTTGGGTTTCTGTGCAGCTGCCCATTGTGGCCAATCACTGAAATTTGAGGCCGTGTATGTTTACTTTTTAGGGGCGCGGGTGGCGCTGTGGGTAAAAGCCTCAGCGCCTAGGGCTTGCCAATCGAAAGGTCGGCGGTTCGAATCCCCGCGGCGGGGTGCGCTCCCGCTGCTCGGTCCCAGCGCCTGCCAACCTAGCAGTTCGAAAGCACCCCCGGGTGCAAGTAGATAAATAGGGACCGCTTACTAGCGGGAAGGTAAACGGCGTTTCCGTGTGCGGCTCTGGCTCGCCAGAGCAGCTTCGTCACGCTGGCCACGTGACCTGGAAGTGTCTCCGGACAGCGCTGGCCCCCGGCCTCTTGAGTGAGATGGGCGCACAACCCTAGAGTCTGTCAAGACTGGCCCGTACGGGCAGGGGTACCTTTACCTTTTATGTTTACTTTTACACTCAAGCGGCAGATAATTTTTATGAAATAAATGTGGTAAAATAAACAAACGATCTGGAGGGGCCCAGACCCAAGGGATAGCTCAGTTGGTAGAGCATGACTCTTAACATCAGGATCCATCAGTTTGTGACCCACACTAGACAAAAAGATTCCTGCGTTACAGCTGGTTGGAGTTGATGATCCTCGTGGTCCGTCCCAACTCTATGATTCTATGATCGATGATCTAGGTTGGCAAAAGGGCCATAGCTCAGGGGTATAAGTATCTGCTCTGCATGCAGAAGGTCCCAGGTTTAATCCCTAGTGCCATCTCCCAGTAGGGTTGGGAACGTTCCCTGCATGAATCCCTGGAGAGCTGCTGCCAATCAGTGTAGACAATACTGAGCAAAATGGACCAATGGTCTGATTTAGTATAAGGCAGCTTCCTATATTCCTATGAAAACTGGCTTAGAGGGGTCAAGGGGCTCCCTGGGTTGCTGATCTGGCTCCCCTGTGTGTGCCTGGCTCTGTTGCCTTGGCATCAGTGGATGTCACAATCCCTGGAGTTTGACCTTTCACCTCCAGCCAACCAGAAGCCAGGGGATTCTGGAATCTCCTTTGCAGTAACAGACACCTGAAGCCCAGAGACACTGGGAGTCTCTAGGGGCTCCTGCCTTATTCTGCTAGATGCACTAAGAACAGCCTCTGGGTGATTGTACTGTCGGTTCAGACCTCCAAGGGAACACTGCCCCCCTCCCAGGTAATTCAAACTTACAGCCTTTGCTAATCAACCTAAAAAAAGCCTCTTGGACTTTAGCAACAAGTTTCCTAAACTTGGGACCACCACCACCGAATACCACAAAGAAGTACCACCAATTCATAAAGTGCCCCGAGCCTTGGAAACAGCCAGCTGGCTGTTAGCTGATTTCTCCAGGACTGGGCATAGATTATGGAAACTCTACGAAAATCCGGCTTTCTGAGAATCTGTGCTGCTTGTTTTAAGTTCCCAGACCTCAAGGAGGTGCAAAATTTGCATATGTCTGGCCGACACCTTCTAAAATTCCAGCAGCTAGAACATCTTGGGCTTAGTCAGTGAACTGTTCTCAGTGAGCTGATTTACTGGGAAAGGGAGGAGGGATACAATACAAGGTTTTGTTTCAGATCCCACCTTGTGTTTGTACACTGTTCCCCGTCCCCACCTCCCAGCATGGGACTTAAGAATGTAAGAAAAGTCCTGCTGGATCAGGCCTGTGGTGCATCTAGTCCAGCATCCTGTTCTCACACTAGCCAGCCAGATGTCCACGAGAAACCTATTGGCGTATGGCATGTACCAAATGTGTACAGCTCCCCAAGTGTGTAGGTTCGTGGCAGTGCAGTTTTGCGCCAGAAGATATTCATTCAGACTCCCAACTTCAGTCAGCTCAGTCCATTACTGACAGGTCCAAAGCATTAAGGCAGTTTCACTATATACAGGCTTCCATTAGATCCCTTGTAGGAGGTGCAGGCTTCAAATGCAAAGCAAGTATGATAGCCATGTTCAAATATATAAAAGGATGTCATATAGAGGAGGGAGAAAGGTTGTTTTCTGCTGCTCCAGAGAAGCGGACACGGAGCAATGGATCCAAACTACAGAAAGAAGATTCCACCTAAACATTAGGAAGAACTTCCTGAAAGTAAGAGCTGTTCGACAGTGGAATTTGCTGCCAAGGAGTGTGGTGGAGTCCCCTTCTTTGGAGGTCTTTAAGCAGAGGCTTGACAACCATATGTCAGGAGTGCTCTGATGGTGTTTCCTGCTTGGCAGGGGGTTGGACTCGATGGCCCTTGTGGTCTCTTCCAACTCTATGATTCCATGATTCTAAGTACAACTCACAGCATACAAACAGCACAGAGTTCAGCATCAATTTGGCAGAGCTTCCTTGCAGCGAAACAGAGGCAATGTGCAGCCCCCTCTTAATATACCCAAGAATGACCACACCCGTGGCCAGTTGCCAGGTCACAGTGACCTATTTGGCTGGTTGCCAGGTCTCAGTCACCTTCAAACACTAATCACAAGACCTGCAGGTGCAAGATAAGGGAGGCACATGCACCAGATTTTCCTTAACAGCAATTAAAGGAACCTCAACACCCCTTCTTAATTCTAAGAAAAAACATGCATCAGAGCATGTGTGAAGTGTTTATAAAGTATGCTTCACTAATCCCAACTTTTCAACTATTTGTGTCTTTCGATACTATTGGGTTTTGTCATTACATCAGCGATGTTCTGGCTTGACTCACAATATACCATAGCTGTCAACTGTTTCCTTTTTTTAAGGGAAATTCCCTTATTCCGAATAGGATTCCTCACAAGAAAAGGGGAAAGTTGACAGCTATGCAATATACAAGTTTTGTTAGTCCTTGTTTCACATTGTCCCTAACATGTCTATATTTGATATCCACGTGTTTTGTCCTAGACTTGAATTGTTCAGGCCCTGCCATGGAAATGCAAGCCCAATTGTCCTCCATAAACTGTCACAGGTAGCTTGGATTCTACAGTCATATCATTAAGAACCTGCATGAAATAGGGACACTCGTTGCTCAATTCAGACAGAGCAACATATTCCACTTCGGATTTAGACACAGAAACCAACCCCCATTTCATGGATTTCCAAACCACCAAAGACTATCCAAATTCTACTACTATTCCAGTACTAGACCTTCTTGTCTGTACATCATTTCCAAAGTCTGAATCACAGTAACACGTTAGCTCCTCTGCCCCAGAGGATGACAGTTTTAAACAGTAGTCCTGTGTTGCTTTTAAATAGCAAAACACTCTTGTGTGGTTGGCTTTGAAACTAACCTGCTAAGAACACCCACAGCTCTGGAGCCAAGTTAGGATTCCCGGGTAAGATCCTCCCTCTATTGTGTGGGCAGGTAATCCCTCCCCTACCTGGCCTGGTCTCCTTGGCAACGCTTCCCCCAGGTGGGATTGGACAACTGACTGAGGTAGGCGGAGACCTCCAGGTATCCCACCTGAGGGAAGGCAAAGCCAAGCCTATGCTGATGGGGCCACTCCAGATCTAGGGCTGCGCGCGTCCACGCAAAGGGCGCCCCCCGTTTTAAGTGGGGAGCGGTCATTGCTTACATCTGGTCTGGACCCACTGTGAACTGTACAAAAAACTGCCAATGGCAGAGTGGCATAGCTCCTAGTGTTCAAACTCCACATTACTCTCTGTTTTTTGAAAGTCTGTCACCATAGGAGTTTGAAGAGTTTGAACGCCTTTACAATTCTGCATACCAAAACATTCTAACAGTTGTGTAGTTTTCTTTTTCTGGCTTAGTAGAAAAACTCCCATCACTTACTTTCTGTACTTCAACTCCCAAGTAACTCTTTATAGTAGCTCCTAAATCTTTGAGCTGGAACTCTTGTCCCAAGTGCTGGGCAAACTCCTGAATTTGTTTGTTTGTTTGTACCAAATGAGAAAAAAACATGACTTTTATTAGAGGCTTGAAGAAATCCTATTTGAATATATTTTTAAAAAAGATAATTTTGATGGGAGATATGGACGGTGTAGCTTCCCTGGAATGGGATAGAACTATAAGAAGATGTGACACAAAAGCAAGGGAAGCTACCCAAGGCTTTTTTTCTGATGACAGAAAATTTCAATTTAGTTGATATATGGAGAGAAAAACACCCACTGGATAGATAATTTACATTTTATTCATCCACAAATAATTTGGTGAGCTGAATGGACTCTGTATGGCCCTCTAGAGATTTGTACATTGAGGTGAAGAAGGTAGAAATATAAAGGAAAGAAAACGAATTGATAAATTATTGTAGAAAAGAGATAGTTAAACAGGATATTAAATTATTGCAAACTCAGTTTTCAATGATAATAAATAAAAAAAAAGAGTGGAAAATTAAAGATTTAAAACATAAACAATTTGAGCAAGCTACTAAAAGCAGGGAAAGTATTAGCATGGCAAATAAAAAAAGGCAAGAGAAAGCCTGCATAAATACAATTAACATAGGAGGTAGAGTTGTGGAAAGAAATAAGAGATCAATTTGTGAGGTTTTTTAAAAAAATATATAAGCCACCTCTTTTAACCCTGCATTTAAATATGCTGTCACAATATGCTGCAAGGGTTAAAAGCATTCTCATACTTTTGTTCCTGGCTGTCAGAGTAAATGTCTCATCTCTCATCATAATCTAAACCCCTTCACTGCATGAATCCTTTTGCAACAAGCTTTGCTTTAAACTTTACTTCACCATATGCTAGGGTTTTTCTTTTATGGACCCAAAGGCACCCCGCAGATTTCTCCCCTTCAGGCAAATCAACAAGTGAGAAAAACTTGTGATCAGCTAGAGATTCCATTTCTTGTTCCACTGCAGCAAACCACAGCTCCTTCTATTGTGGCGGCAGGTGTGGGATTTCCTCAAAAGTCTGAGGTTCATAATTTACGTTGCAAACCTTAACTTGCCCCACAAAGTATTCTTCAGAATATCTTGAGAGGTGGGATTTCCTGGGTAGCTCCTTCTGATCATCTTAGGGGTCAGCAAACTTTTTCAGCAGGGGGCCGGTCCACTGTCCCTCAGACCTTGTGGGGGGCCAGACTATATTTTGGAAAAAATAATAATGAACGAATTCCTATGCCCCACAAATAACCCAGAGATGCATTTTAAATAAAAGGACACATTCTGCTCATGTAAAAACATGCAGATTCCCGGACTGTCCGCGGGCCGGATTTAGAAGGCGATTGGGCCAGATCCGGTGCCCGGGCCTTAGTTGCCTACCCATTGTCTTAATTATGTAACTGCCTGTCCCCCTCTTCCTCCCCTTCAGCTTTGGCAGAAAGAGTCTCCTGTTTCACAGGACTTTGCAGTTGGTTGCTGTGGCAACGGCTGGGCCTGTGGTTCTGGGACTGGCTCAATGAGAGGCAAAACTACTTCAGAATTCGCATGGATTCTGGACCAGTTATTTCGCTCTGAGAACACAGCACTGCAGCTCAGGACCACTTTTCCATTGCCAAGAGAAAACCCGGTACTTTTACAGTCCGGCTGATAACCCACAAAAAACAGTTTCACTCTTTCTCTGTGCCTTGGGGATAGCCGCCAAAGGTTCTCAAATGGGAGATGCTAGGCTTTTTACCATGGAGCAGATAGGAGTATTATTTACCACAGCCTATTTTGACTATGGGACGCGGGTGGCGCTGTGGGTAAAAGCCTCAGTGCCTAGGGCTTGCCGATCATCAGGTCGGCGGTTCGAATCCCCGCAGCGGGGTGCGCTCCCGTTGCTCGGTCCCAGCGCCTGCCAACCTAGCAGTTCGAAAGCACCTCCGGGTACAAGTAGATAAATAGGGACCGCTTACTGGCGGGAAGGTAAACGGCGTTTCCGTGTGCTGCGCTGGCTCGCCAGATGCAGCTTGTCACACTGGCCACGTGACCCGGAAGTGTCTCCGGACAACGCTGGCCCCCGGCCTCTTGAGTGAGATGGGTGCACAACCCTATAGTCTGTCAAGACTGGCCCGTACGGGCAGGGGTACCTTTACCTTTACCTTTATTTTGACTATAGCATGCTGCCAGCATGGCCTCCCCACCCCACCCCCTGAATTTTACAGGCAAACCAGCATCATGAAGCAACAAATCTTTCATTGTCTGCGAAGCCCTGCCTTCAGTTCCTACTACTACAGTTCCCAGGATTCTTTGGGTGTGAGGGAATTTGCTTTCAACGCCTGGTGTGTACACAGCTATCTGCAGGGGTCAACATGTTTCCCTGCCCCTCACTCCCAGGGCCTGATTTAGGTTTGATGAGACCCTAAGCTACTGAAGGCAATGGGGCCCTTTATATGTCCAGCTGTCCTTTGTCAACAACAAATTGTCGCTGTTTTTTGTGTTGAATGTATGCTGTATGGTAATTTATGGACCTAATAGGTATCTAAAGCCATCTGCACATGTTGCCATGCAACCAGTCCATGCAGAATGTAGGCACCCTATATATAGAAATGAGCAAACCAGTGATATTTTAGGGAGCAGGCTAGCGGACGGGGCCCATTACTTACATCATAGGAGCCTACACAACACAAAACACGGTTGCTGTATGTAGGTTTTATTTTATTTGTTTTTTAGCTTATATTTTGTAAATGTACATCCAGGTTTTTTTCCTTTAAATTGTTTTGGGGCCCCAACAGAGTGAGGCCCTAAGCTATAGCTTGTTTGGCTTATACGTAAATCTGGCGCTGCTCACTCCTAACGCTGCCTCATCGTCATTCCAGACCCAGCTCGCCAACCTGGTTTGAGCCGGTTCTGGACCGTTTGAGTGAAGGGGCCCTTTGTCTGAAGCAGCCACCCCAGACTGTCCCCCCAGCCCCTCCTTCCTCCACCAGCTAGCCTTGTCTGTCTCTCATTTGCTCCTCTTCTTTTGGTATTGGAGTGACTGAAATAGGCTTTCCCCCTTTTGCAACAAATCACACACACACCCTTCTCCATTTCCCCTCTGGCTGACATCCTTTTAAGCATTGATTCTGCTCCTTTCCCTTAGGTCGGATCTCTGGTTGGAGGAGAGGAAGGGAGATGACCTCAGAGGCGAGGGCAGTGGTTGTGGGGAGTGCACCACGCCTCCCATAAGTGGCCAGCACCAAGCCAAGACCACCGGCTTATAAAGTGGGGCCAAGAGAAACCAACGTTCCCCCAATGAGACCAGAGTCGTGAAGATAAGCACAGCACCCAGGCAGCCCACCCCCAGGAGAAGGAGGAGAGCCCCCCTCTGAGTCCACCAGCGGCTTCCTCCAAAACACCACCGCAAGCACCCAGCTCTGCCGTCCGACCACTTTGCAAGCCAAGCTCCAAAGCCTCTTCTAAGACCCTCGACAAGTAAGTGCGTCTCATCGTCCGGCTGGAGGTCTGCTAGACAGTGTGCATCATGATGTAATGCGCACCTTTTGCCGTCAGATAAGCAAGGTATAGGCCGCTTGCACTGCAAATTTGGATCCCTGGGAGAGTTGGATAATTGAGGTTCAGGTAAAGACGGAAAATTCGCTTGCAGGGAGAGTCTGGTTTTTAATGCAATAAAATAAAGAAACTTTATTAACATTAATAAAGGATTACTGTACTCACATTTTCAAACATATGTTTTTAGCCATGAGGCCCAGGAACCTGCTTGTTTTCTTTTTTTAAAAAAGATAATGAAACTTCAGTTTCTAAATTTACACACTAGCAGCCAGTTACAAAGAGGGACAAGGAATTAAGCAGTGAAGCCTTATTGCAGTCGCAGGACAGCTTACTGCATCAGCAACCATGACTGCCTGCACTTTTGAGAATGTATATGTAGCATGAGGACTAGAAACCTGATTGATTTAAATAGAATGAGACTTGAGATTCTAAGATCTCAGCACTCACAGCCTTGGCTGTTTGTGACTGTATCAATGGACCTCAACTACATAGTCATGAAAAAAGAGTCAAAACAAAGTTTTGAGGAAGCAAAACAGTCTTTCCCCCCTTATTCTTCCACTGTGCTTATTCTGTACGTAATCCCCATTCTACCCTCAGCTTTCCACAATGGCCTCCTCCAAGCCCTTCCATGTGGTCACTCCGCTGCGGGTCAGCTCCCACCTCTCCAAATTGGCTGGTACCAAGGTCTACCTGAAGCTCGAAAATACCCAACCCACTTGCTCCTTTAAGATACGAGGCATAGGGAACTTCTGCAAATCGGTAAGGAAAGGAGAAAGCTATATGGGGAAGGCTTGTAGCTCAGTGGCAGAGCAGCTGCCTTGAGTGCAGAAGGTCCCAGGTTTAATCCCCAGCCTGTCCAGGTGGGGCTGGCGGCGACCCCTGCCTAAAAGCCTAGAGAGCTGCTGCCAGTCAGTGTAGGGAACACTGAGCCTCTTGTCGGCTTACTATAAGGTACATTCCCATTTAAGACAAGAAAGAATGGTGAAGGTTGCTGCTGGTTTTCTCTACTGCCCTAGGATAGGCTGTAGCTCAGGTTAAGGCAGCTTGCGGTGTTCATATGATGGGACCTTTCTGGTGGGAAGTGATATTGCACATAATGGATATTGTTTAATCAGTTTAGGGAACGAGCTTGAAGCAAGCTGCTCCTCAGTCTGGCAGGTGCCATCTTTGTTTGGGGGGAAGGCTCCTTCTGGGAAGAATTGAATCAGGCATTGAGCAGGCATGAAGTATTCAACAGAAGTATAGTGTCCAGATCAAGGGAAGCAATAGTACCACTCTAGTCTGTCTTGGTCAGACCACACCTGGAATACCGTGTCCAGTTCTGGGCGCCACAATTTAAGAAGGATGTTGACAAGCTGAAATGTGTGCAGAGGAGGGTGACTAGGATGGTCAAAGGTCTAGGAGCCTTATGAGGAATGGTTGAAGGAGCTATGTATGTTTAGCCTAGAAAAGAGGAGATATGATAACCATCTTCAAATAACTAAAAGGGCTGTCACATGGAAGATGGAGCAAGATTGCTCTCTCCTGCTCTGGAAGGTAGGGCTCAAACCTCAACAGCTTCAAGTTACATGAAAGCAGATTCCAACCAAACATATGAAAAAAACTTCCTTACAGTAAGAGCTGTTCTTTGGGCATTCTGCAAAGGTTTCGTTATGAGGTCAAGAGGACAGAATCTGGTCCAGACCTGAGTGGAAAGAACCGTGGGTGGTGGGGTTGTTTTTGCTGTGGGGTTAAGATGACTTCTGTTCACACATTCCTATTCTTCTGCTTTCACAGTGGGCCGAAAAACGCTGCCAGCAGTTTGTCTGTGCCTCAGGTAATGTGGTTTTCTGTGGACACTGTCAGGGTTCCAGGGGTGGGGAGGATCCTGCTTGTGGAAGTTTCCCTTTGGGGCATATCATGGGAATTGGGGTTGCTTGTGTGTAAACCTCCAACTGCTCCAAACTGCTTGGGGTGGTTGCGCCTTTCCCTAGCTGAGCAGCCCTTTTGCGCGGCTGCTTCAGTCGCTGGCAGAATCCGTCAGTGGGCGTTTCCTAAACTTCTTCCAGCATAAGAATTCCTTAACGGACAACCTCCTCCTCGCCTCTCTGCGCGGAAGCCTTCTGCGCAGAGTGGGCGTGCCAAGCGGTGGTCCTCCACTCTCCTCACTGACCTCACTGGAAGAGTCTCGGAGCCTCCCCTCCGAAGTGCTCTCAGCCTCTCCTTTCTTCCTGGTGTCACCTGGACTTCCTTCCCCAGCAGAAGCTCTCTCTCTTCCCTTACTGGTTCCCTCTCCGGCATCATCGGGGAGCCTAACCTCTCCACTCTGCTCCGATGTCAGTTCCCTGACAGGGCATCTCACTGTGAGAACAGGATGCTGGGCTGGAAGGACTACTAGCCTGATTCAGCAGGCTTGTCTCATGTTCTTATGTGTACATTGGGGGGGGGGAATTACACTAAAATGCTGGTGATTTTTGCTAGGATTTGGAAAAATGTTTCCACAAGCCAACATGGAAATAGAGACAGCTGAATTTAAGTTTGGAAAAATGAGAGAAACCGAAGTAGTGCAGGGAATCATTGGGTTTTTTCTTATTTTTTCTTACGTATTTTGTATTTTTAGATGGTGATTTTATATTGTGAACTGCCCTGAGACATGTGGGTATAGGGCAGTATACAAATTTAATTAATAACAAGAACAACAACAGTATGGTGGCTTAGAGGCTGAGCTGCAAATCAGAAAGTCCCCAGTTCAGATTTCACCTCTCCCACAAACTAGATGACTTTAGGCAGGACACCTAGATTATATCCAGAAGTCTTGGGTTGGCCTGGGAGGGAAGGCAACTGTCATAAGGTCTAGCATCATAGTGGTGTCAAATGGGCTTTCTTCCAGCGGGAAATGCCGGTCTTGCCGCTGCCTACTCTGCAAAACAGTTGGGGATCCCGGCTATCATCTTTGTGCCCCAATCCACACCAGCTATAACTATGGAGCGCATGGAAGATGAGGGAGCCACGGTATGCATGCAACAGGTAAGTTTGGAAGGAAGATCAGCCTTAACCCTTTCCCTGGCTTATCACAGAAGAACAAAAGTTGGAAGCCTTTAAAAATCACCAGCATCATCAAATAAATATTTCTTAGAATCCTAGCCTAATAACAAACTTCCTTTCCTCTAGACACTGGAGGAATGCCAAAACATAGCCAAGGAAATGGCAAAGAGATGCTCTAACTTGACCTACGTGCCTCCGTTCGATGACCCTCTCATCTGGTATGTGTTGTAATTTCTCCTTCGGTGGAGAAATTCAGTTCAGTTCGAAACAGTACCAGATTAGCCATTTTGAAGCAATACCTGAACTGAAGTGCGGCCATTTTGGCCACCTGGTGGCCATTTTATTTTCCCCCACAATGCCCCGGAATTTCAGCTGGGGCCTGGTATGCAGGAAGCAGGGAATATGCCAGGGATTTCCTGCCAAAATGGACTTCTGCAAAGGAAAAAACCAGACCAGATTTCTCCCCCTCCCCACAAATAAAAATGATGAGAAGTTTTGAATGCGCTCTTCTCTCAATGCCCCCACCCCCAACTCTCTCTTTCCCACCCCTGACATTTGGTTTTGATGTTCTGGGTTCCATTCTGCTTTGCAGGGAAGGGCACAAGACCATGGTCACAGAGATGAAGGAGCAGATGGAGTCCACACCTGGAGCAATAATTCTCTCTGTTGGAGGGGGCGGCATGCTCTGTGGGGTGATCCAGGGCCTCCGCGAGGTGGGCTGGGACAAGGTACCCATCATCGCCATGGAGACCTGCGGAGCCCACAGTCTGAATGCTTCCTTGGAAGAAAAGAAGCTGGTGACACTGCCCAAAATTACCAGGTGAGCTCACGGCACATTTGGTGGGGGACTAGGAGGGTAAAAGACTACCGCTTACCTCAGGGCAGAAGCCACTACTGGTAGTGTGACAGCTGATGTGGGCTGGTACCCATTGGGTCTGGTAGGGTGGAAGACAGGGAGCCCAACAGTAGGGGGCGCCAGAGCCAATGACAGGCAGAGCCAACCTTCTCCTAGTTTTGTCCCCATCCTCCTCCTTGTGGAGTGCTATAAGCAGCAACGCTGAGACGGAGGAGGAGGTGGCAGATAGCCAGGCAAGTGAGGGCTGATGGAGGGCAGAAGAAACAATCAATACAATACAATACAATACAATACTAGGAGACAGTGCAGTGGTTATAGTGTCAGACAACAGGATTCAAATCCCCACTTGATCATGAAGCTCAGTGGCTGATAGACTTTGGATATAATATAGAGTTTGAAAAGTGGAAGAAACTTTGGAATATAGGTATGAAGTTCTCGGCTTGTACAACACTTAGAGAAAATATGTATAAAATGATGTACAGGTGGCATATCACACCTGTTAGATTAGGAAAAATGTACAAGAATGTAGACAAATCATGTTGGAAATGCAAAATTAAGGAGGGTAATTGCTATCATATGTGGTGGTCCTGTGAGGTGATTAAATTTTTTTGGGAATCCATATACAATGAACTAAAAAAAGATATTTAAATACACCTTTAAGAAGAGACCAGAGGCCTTCCTTTTGGGGATAGTTGGAGAAGAAATTAGAAAGGAAGACCAAACACTTTTCCAATATGCTACAGTAGCCGCTAGAACACTCATAGCACAAAACTGGAAAACATCGAAAATCCCAACTATAAGGGAGTGGCAATCTAAATTGTTTGATTATATAGAATTGGCAGAAATGACACAGAAAATAAGAAACCAAAAGACCACAAAGTTTAATGATGAATGGAATAAATTTATGTCATATATTGAACTAGAGGTTAAAAACTTAAAAATCACAGTAGGCTAGAAATTACGCCTGTGACGCAAAGAGATTTAAGAAAACGAAACTGCAGATTACAATATTTTGTATCAGACTCCGAAACCAGAGATGAAGGGAAGTCATTTATTGTAAGTTTAATTTGTCGGTGTTTTTTGTTATGAAATTTCTTTTTTCTTCTTTTTTCTGTGTTTGGTATGTTTTTCTTTTTTCTCTGTTGTTTGAATGTCTGTGTAATGAATTGAAATTAATAAAAATTAAAATTAAAAAAACAAACAAAAAAGAAGCTCAGTGGCTGAGACCAGTCAATGGCTGCCAGCCTAACCTACTTCACAGGGTTGTTATGGGGATTCAAGGAGGAAAGGGAAAACCACATGCACCACCTTGAGGGGAAGAATGGAGGGGTATAAATGCAACAGATAAATAAAATGGCCTCATTGTCATTACACATTGTTCGCCTGAGCCAAATCCAACAAGCAAAATCCAGCCCACTGATCTTCCTTTTCCTGTTCTGGGTCCAGCATTGCTACCACGCTTGGGGCAGCTACTGTGGCAGAGGAAGCTTTGAAGCTGGCGCAAGAGCACCCTGTCATATCACAGGTTGTCAACGACTCTGACGCAGTGGCAGCCGTCGGGAGGTTTCTGGGTATGTATTCGCAAGACAGCCGTCCAGTATTAATGCACTAATTGTGAACTCGTTCTCCATGTCTGGATAGTCAGTGCAATTATATGGTGAACTAGAGTTCCCATCTTCTCTGACCATCGGCCATACTGGCTGGGGCTGATGGGTGCTGGAGTCAAATAAACTCTACAAGGCGCCACACTGGCTCTTGCTGCTCCAAGTGCTATTATGACTTTGTGCAGAACTGTATTGCAGGGGATTGCACGAGATGAGCCTTTGTGTCCCTTCCAACTGTACAATACCAGTAGTCATTGATTTGTCCAATCCTCTTATTTGTTCAATCCTCTTTTGAGGATCAAGTGGTATATTGCACTTCAAATTACTTCTACTACTGATTACGTGGGTGGCACTGTAGTCTAAACCTAGGGTTTGCCGATCGGAAGTTGGGCGGTTCGAATCCCCGCAATGGGGTGAGTTCCCATTGCTCAGTCCCTGCTCCTGCCAACCTAGCAGTTTGAAAGCACATCAAAGTGCAAGTAGATAATTAGGTACCGCTCCGGTAGGAAGGCAAACGGCGTTTCCGTGCGCTGCTCTGGTTTCGCCAAAAGTGGCTTAGTCATGCTGGCCACATGACCTGGAAAAACTGTCTGAGGACAAAATGTCTCCCTTGGCCAGTAAAGTAAGATGAGTGCCACAACCCCAGAATCGTTCACGACTGGACTTAACTGTCAGGGGTCCTTTACCTTTTCTTTCTTTTTTTCCTACTGATTAAAAGGTAAAGGGACCCCTGGCCATTAGGTCCAGTCGTGGCCGACTCTGGGGTTGCGGCGCTCATCTCACTTTATTGGCCAAGGGAGCCGGCGTACAGCTTCCGGGTCATGTGGCCAGCATGACTAAGCCGCTTCTGGCAAACCAGAGCAGCGCACGGAAACGCCATTTACCTTCCCGCCGGAGCAGTACCTATTTATCTACTTGCACTTTGACGTGCTTTCAAACTGCTAGGTTGGCAGGAGCAGGGACCGAGCAACGGGAGCTCACCCCGTCGCGGGGAATCGAACTGCCAACCTTCTGATCAACAAGTCCTAGGCTCTGTGGTTTAACCCACAGATTACTCATGCCTTAATGGCAAAGAGAAACAGCACAGTTGGTTAGAGCATGGTGGTGATAACGCCAAAGTTGCAGGTTTGATCCCTGTATTGGATAGCTGCATATTCCTGCATTACAAAGGATTGGACTGTATCATCCTCAGGGTCCCTTCCAGCTCTAGGATGCTATGATTCAACATCTAGAAAACTTAAACGACCCTTTTGCCTGCAGACGAGGAGAGGATGCTGGTGGAGCCGGCGTGCGGGGCGTCCTTGGCAGCCATCTACTGCGAGCTGACCAAAACGCTGCAAAAGGATGGTAAACTCCCCAACGAGCTGGAATCCATAGTCATCATTGTGTGCGGCGGCAACAACATCACCATGGAGGAACTGGATTGCTTGAAGGAGCAGCTGTCCTCGGATAACGGTGATCTCGTGGAGTGCGAGCTTGCCATGGCAACATGGAACAATCCATGCAACATTTTCGCGGCTTCGCTCCAAAAATCCATGGGGGCGTGTGCTCATTAAAACTCACGGCTGCTTCACCCACCCTGCTCTCCCCGAGCTTTGTGTCACCTCCTGGGTGGGAGCAGAGGAGTGGGCGGACGGGAAAACTGGGTTGCAATATACCTTGGTGCCTCAGGATTTGGTTGGATCGCCAGCAGATACCCGAGAGTACTAGATCCCAGGAGGGATCGCTAGATTGCCAGGTGGTGGTTCGGGTTTCTGTGAAGCTGCCCCTTGTGGCAAGTCGCTGAACTGCACATTTTGCCCTCTACATGGGCGGTATGGGATGCCCAGGCTGTGCGTGGGCTGGCTCCTGAATAGGAAAGAGTGGCATGGAATCATAGAACTGTAGAGTTGGAAGACCATGCAGGTAATCTAGTCAAACCACCTGCGATGCAGGAATCTTTTGCCCAATGTGGGGCTCCAAGCCACAACCCTGAGATTAAGAGTCTCATGATCTGTCAACTGAGCTAAGGGCATAGAGAAGAGGGCTTCCTGTGCAATGCAGTTTTGAGAAGTGTGGTCTTCCCCAGCTCTAGTTTGTTGCAGCATCTTTTGCTCCTGAATTCCACCACCCGGTTTAACCTTCAGCCCCGACTTCTGGCTTATTCCTGCCTCCCGGTTTGACCTTTGTCCTTGATGCTACCTCCTAGCTTCTTTCCAAAATGACTTCTGGCTTCCTCCTGTCTTGCCCTCATGTACCTTTCAACCCTAACTTCTGGCTTGCCTTTCAGCTTGCTCTACAGTCTTTCTAGAAAGCCAATTCAGGTGGCTTCTAGACAGGCAACGATGTTCAGCTGTGGGGATCTTTTACATCTTTTTCTTTCAACGATTTATATCTTACAGGATTTATTATTTGAAGTGTTATTCTCTGGGAGTGCTGTTCCAGAACAGCTGATGTAGTTTTAACCAGTAAACCACCTTGGAGAACTTCTTCTCCAGTAAGGTGGCATATAATTTTTTTTTAAAAAAGTAATAACAATAAGCTTATGTGGGTGCTTTTTAAAATGGTAAACAGCTGCTTCAAAGAGGGTGATGAATTTCAGTAGAAAGGGATTAGCCCTCTTGTCCCTTACCATAGTCCTGACAAATATCACCCCACCCCCTGACCCCCCAGCAACAGATTATCTCCATAAAGAAGGCATGTCCAAAGTCCGTTTCGGGGGCCTAATCTGGCCTACCAGTCAGTTTAATCCGGCCCCTGTGGTGGTTCATTTCCTGAGGTAAAATCCTTTAAAAAAGCTCAACAACTTCAATCCTTAGGTTAACAACTTTGGTCGGCCCTTCACTTCATCAAATCTGGCCCTCTTTGAAAAAAGTTTGGACACCAATAATCCAGAGATTGGGAGGGTGCGCATGGCTCTCGCTGACCTGGAATTCTTCGCAGCACCACTTCAGCCTTTCCAACTTCTAAACATTCTCCTAGGAAACCAGGACTGAAGTCAGTTCCCCAGTCAGCGTCAGGCAGCCAAGGAACCAACCCCCGCGGCTGGTTGTCATGAATGGACAAGGAAAAGTTATTATCAACTGCTTTTTATTCAATATTCACAGTGGCTTGGGAATGCAGCGTCTTGGAATAATGGTGTTGTCTCCACCCCCTCCCTCTCTCCTCTTCATGTGTCATCACTATGCTTGCTGAAAAGTGCCCTCTGCCTCTGAGCCGTCTGCTCTCCTACTTTTAATGTCCGCCAGGTTCAGGGAGAGGTGAGGTCTGGAGTGTTTTCTAAAGACACTTGAGTCCGTCAGCTGTCCCCCCCTTTGGTGCTGCTGCTTCTTCATCTATTATTTCCCAGCTTTTTCTCTCATCTGCCTCAGCTGTGATCTCCCTTAAACCTGTTATGATTCTAAATTGTCGTCTTCTTCTCTGGAAGGGTCAGGCTGGGGAGGCAGTCTCCACCATTCCTCCTCTGTTCAGTCCCTGACAGTCAGGGTCGTATTGATGGGACGATGAAACAATACAGTGGTACCTCAGGTTAAGTACTTAATTTGTTCCAGAGGTCCGTACTTAACCTGAAACTGTTCTTAACCTGAAGCACCACTTTAGCTAATGGGGCCTCCTGCTGCTGCCGCCCCGCCGGAGCACAATTTCTGTTCTCATCCTGAAGCAAAGTTATTAACCTGAAGCTCTATTTCTGGGTTAGCGGAGTCTTTAACCTGAAGCGTATGTAATCTGAAGCGTATGTAACCTGAGGTACCACTGTACTATGAGATCCCAGCTCATGGAAACGAAAACTCTGATCCCGAGAATCTTAAAATTGCACAGGCAACTTCCTCTAGATTGGTGCACCTGTTTCTGCCAGCATAACCTGAGATGACACTGGCCTTAAGGTGTGTGAGTGACAGAAACAGGTAAAATGTGTACGCAAAAGAGGGAAGCAAGAGTGTGTGGGAGAGAGGAGGTGTGTGCATGTGTGTGTGATAGA